GATGGGGAGGAGGTGAAGGACAGACGGGAGACACAACCACTGGAGGTGAGGGGCAGAGGAGAGACAGAGGGGGTAAGGAGAGGGAGCGGGAGAGAGAGGGGACGGAGAGATGTGAGAGGGGATGAAGGACAGACGGGAGACACTCATACTGGATGTGAAGAGGAGAGGAAGGAGGGAAGAAAGAGAAGGAAGGGGGATAAAGAACAGATGGGAGATAGTCACTGAAGGTGAGGGTGATGGGTGGTGGGAGGGGAGGGAGGGGGAGAGAGGAGGTGAAGATGAAGAACAGATGGGAAATGCAGTCACTGTAGGTGAGGGTGAAGGGGTGGAGGGAGGGGGAGAGGGAGGGAGGAAGAGCAGCTACAAGAACAGAACAATACTTTTATCGTAATGAGAACCAAGCTTAATGTGTCAGTTGTCGTTCCTACTTGTCGCCATGTCAACTCAACAATGTCAACAACAAAAGTAACAGTAACAAAGATATACTCTTTTGATATCCAAATCTGTCCCTTTCTTTTCTGTATTTTGTATTAGTAGATATGTACACCCACTCAATTTGGATAACATATTTTTCTTTATGTGTTACTCTCCTGCAAAACCTCTAATCTCCTGAACTTATATGACATAAGTGTGTTGCAAGTGCCATAAAATTCTTGCTAAAACAGAATTTAGACATGAACCAAACTGATCACACAAGTTTTGTTTCCACAGGACATCCAGGCCGCGGTCCTGAGCCTTTCCTCCAAACTGATCGACGGGGCTTGCCAGGTTCTGGAGGCCTACCTGACCACCTGCAATGCTGTGCTTGGCGCGTGCGACAGCGGTGGAGAGATAGAGGGCTGGCTGTCTGGCCTGGAGCGTCTAGCCAAGAGCACCATCCTAGGGTCTCTGATGCCCGTTCTGATCACCGTGCTGACCCACCGCAAGCTCCAGTGTCTGGATGTGGCACACGCTCTCACACCTTCGCTAGTCACGCTGAGCCTTATGGCTAGTCAGGTTTGTACATGAGAGAGAGAGAGCAGGGGGGAAGAGACAGGGAGAGAGAGGAAAAGAGTGGGGGGAGGAGAGTAAGCTGCAGTGTCTGGATGTTGCACATGCTCTTACACCTTCGCTGGACACGCTCAGCCTTATGGCTAGTCAGGTTTGTGTCTAGGAGAGAAAGGGAAGGGGGGGGGATTAGCTGCGGTATCTGGATGTGACTCATGCTCTCACGTCTTCACTGGTCACACTTAGTCTTGTGGCTAGGTGGTCCACATTCTGGATACTCAAGGTTTGCACATGTGAGACTATTACAGCCATTGATATCACATGTAGATCCAGAGAAAAATTTTCAATTGCTGTGTTCATTCGTTTTCTCCCGGGTTTCTTTCCACTAGGCGGCGCTGATGATGAAGAGTCAAGAGCTGGCAGCCAGCACCTCCATGGCCTCAGTCTCCGACCTTGACCTTAGCTCAGACAAGGAGATTGCTGATCTCATCGGTGAAGCCCTCAGTACTGACCAGTGAGTGCTTCGTACAGCCACTCTTTTCTTTTTCTTTTTTTTTTTTCCCCCTTTTTTTTCTTCTTTTTGAAAAAAATTAATTCTCTTTTAATATACCACGTTCTGTTAATCTAAGAAAATGATTTTAATTTCATAGATTTGAAACAAAGTGTAGTGTGGCAGCAGCAGGCATTGTTAGTGTAGGTCTTTATTTCTTGGGTAGAAAAAAAGACTTCGAGGAAGACTTCTAAAAAGATTCTTTCTCTATTTGGGCTTACAGAGTGCAGAGCAGGAAACAAAGTGTTACAACCGTACCATATCATTTTTAGAACTATACATTTTGATGAAGCTACAGCAAAAATCACTATTTATGTCGAAAATTTCTTTTCCAGCATCAAGACTTTAGTGAAGGTGGAAGAAGGCTTCGAGTTTTGAAAATAAGATTTTGGCTACGTATAACCATCCTGGCTAAGGAGCCTCAATGATAGAGAGCCTAGCCCGTTCTGTACAAGGATTACAGCAATCACAATGTCTTGTTTTATGTTGCTTTAGTATTTATTGTAAAGCACCCAGAGCCTGTGTACTTTAACCCTCCGATTGTCAACTGCAGATTCCATTGACCATAAGTTGTGTTCTATGGCGTTGCGGCTGATTATATTGGCTGTAATTTAAGTTGCTCTCTCGGTTCGTTTATCCCTTTTTCTTCAATCGCCAAACATTTCAACTCCTTCACAAATGAGCTCTACTTCCGACTTACATTCTATTTTCTGAAAATGTATAGGTTTATGGCCTTTACTCGCTTGGTTTGCAAGTTCTCAATCATTTTCCAATATAATCTTGGGAAATCATATTATTTCCCAACACCAGAGGCTGTTTCTTACAGATTCTTGGAGTGTCAGTCTGGGTTGAGTGCTATATAACTGTTATACTTTCTTCCTCTTCCTCTTCCTCTTCCTCTTCCTCTTCCTTTTCCTCCTCCTCCTCCTCCTCCTCCTCCTCCTCCTCCTAATATTATTAAGAGATGAAGTGAATTCAGACTGATATTTCCCCATCTTGCTCTCTCCATCCAGGAGTGAGATGTCTGTGGAGGAGGAGGAGGGTTTCCTGACAGGCCTCAAGATCCCCACACCGTGGGCCTCTGGTAAGACTGTGGAGACCATCCACCCGGTGCGAGACAACTACAAGTTCAAGGAGACGGTTCACATCCCGGGGGCCAGATGTCTCTACCTCAGGTTCGACCCGCGATGCTCCTCGCAGTACGACTATGATAAGGTTGGTGGTTACTTTTTTATCTTTATCCTTTTGTTATGATTTTTTCCTTTTTTTTTTACCCTTGGGTACCTACCCCCCTTCCCCTCCTTTTCTTTAAAAAATGATTTTCTTTTCTTTTGTTATTACTTTTTACTTCGTCTCCCCCCCCCCCCCCTCCTTTTCCTTCCTTTTCTTAGAAAAATATTTTTAAAATATTTTTTTCTTTGTACCACTTGTCCATTTTTAGATGCTGTATTGATATTTTTTCATATCAGACAAGCTTTGACAAGGTGGGTACCTAAAATGCTGGTTAAAAATTGAAATGATTGAGAAAATAATGTGACCTTGAACTACAAGTTCATGGAGAGGGTCACTTCTCTGGCGCCAGATGTCTCTTTGACGAAGGTTAATGCTCCTTCCTCCCCCCCTTTTTTTCTTTCTTTTTGTTCATTTTACTTCTTTATTTTTTGGTCATGTTCCTTATCTGGGTGCTGTTTTTAGGTGATTTTTATCATCTCTGAGTATATTGAATAGGTGTTTTAATCTTAAGTTAAGAAGATGAAAATCTTTTTAAATTGAAGAAAGTTTAAAAGACCCATGAAAAGTGAAGTGATATAAAATTAATTCACAATTATTTTTTAAAAACATTTGTTGTGTTATGGCTTTTGTCTTAATTTGCCTCTCTTTACCTTGTTATAAGGACATGTTTTTTCTTACTTTTGGAACAGGTGGTTGGAGTCTGTCCTTCGCAAGTATCTCTCTTTTGCTTCGGTCTGTCTTGTCTTACTTTTTTTTCCTTTCACTAAATAGTTGTTATTGTGTCGATGTGCTTCTATTTATCCATTCGAACAAACTAACCAACTATTTATTCATTACTTTCCTTCAGGTTGTGGTGTATGCAGGTCCAGGCGTGAATGGAAAGAAAGTGACAGAGTATGGAGGAAATTCATTTGGCTATGGAAGTCGTAGTGTGCTGGGAAATGGCTGGCCTAAGGACTTGGTGAAGGTTTGTAGTGGGAATCTGCCTTTGTTCTAAAATTGGAGCCCTCCGATTTTTAAATAAATTTTTTTTTCCCCCATTAACTCTTTATACCCTTTATGCCGGGACCCTTTATTGATACAAAATCTGAAATTGACAAATGCACCTCTAAATTGCGTTAAATCAAAATAAGTGAACCTATTTTGATAGTTCTTCATTTAATGAATGAACTCCCGGTAAAAGAGAGTTGCCGAAAAGTAATTTGACTTTGAAGTCATCGTAAAGGAATGTGCCCATGCTGCTGTCAGCGGCTCACTGGCACAGCAGTTCGGACCGAGCGCTGCTGGGAGTGGCTTGCTGGACTTAAGGAGTTAAAGAACCATGTTTGGAATTGTATGAAACCTGTATTTTTTTGGTCCTGAATTCCATTTCTATCAGTTGTACATAATATACTGAAATGACATGGAAATGCACTGGTTTATTTGCTATATTTGCGTGGCTTATTGTAAATGAAGCGAAAATACTCATTTTTAATTTGGATTTATTTGCATGTACTTTTCAAGTTTACTTGTTACTTTCGGTTTGTTCCATAATCTTAACTACTGGAGTTACTGAGACTTAAGTTTTTTCCCCCAAAGTCCAATTTTTTTGGAGGATTCCGAAAATAAACCTCCTGCGTTTGGTCATGGAGTTGTTGGCCAGTCTAATGGTATTATCATTTTTATTCCCTTCAGTGCTGTATAGTTTAAATCCCATGTGCCAAGCGAAATGGAGATTTGACAGTATTTTATTAAGGTTGTTGTCAAGAAGGCTCATATCTTTCTTATTGATTGCAGTACAGTGGGAAATAGTGGAAGTCTCTGATAAAACGACGCGAACAAATTTTCTTGATTCTCTTCGATTGCAAGGAAAGCAGAGCAGAAGGACGCTCAGAACATCGTTAATACTGGAGGACGAGATTGGAAATATCTCGAGAGGATTTTGTGAAATGAGTTATAAACTTTTGTTGTATTGATTTTGTATTTTTAACCTTGTGCAGGTGGAGGGAGATACAGTGACCTTGACCTTTGAAATGCGCAGCGGTCGGGAGCACAACACGCCAGACAAGGCTATGTGGGGGTTTGCCTGCACCATCAGGGCACAGGTAGGCTGTCTGGGGAAGATATCTTGTCTATTTGTCTGTTCTCTCCATCTCCCTCTCTTCCCTCTCCTTCTCCCTCTGTTTTTGTCTCTCTCTCTCTCTCTTGGTCTCACTCTATTTCTCTTTCTCTGTCACCCTCTCTTCTTCCC